TGCCAGGATTCAAGGTTCGAACCTGCCTACTCATACACCAGAAGCGGTCGCCTTCCACCTTCGGGCAACCACGACGCGTATGACATTACATGTAATGTTTTTCAACGTTTCTGTAGGACAAGCCTGTGCTGTAGTTTTAGTATCCCAGAAGTCACGTTACTGTCAAAAACCGACAAACAGATAGTACAGCAATATCCTTTCCTAATGTAGACTCTGCAATGTTTACACGACAGATAAAGCGAATTTTATTGAATGTGTCTCTTTGTCGTGAGCCTGCATTTCGGTATCAAAGCAAATGATTGAGTTGCGATCCGTAAAGTTTACGTGTGGGTAGTAAATACTATGAAAAAAGATATTCCCAGAATAAAATTTCGACCTTATTGTCTTTTTCCTTGAATAATGTGTTGGTTTAGGTCATGTTTGTACCTATGTAAGTGGGTTTTTGTAAAGAATCGTTTTATTTACACACGTGTATTTATTGTACTTTGAAGCCATTGAAGTATTACTATAAGAGGTTGATGGTCGAAGCCGTCGTAGCGTACATTAATTTGTTTTGATTACGATGATAATTAGCAACATAATTTTTAGTACTTAAAATCGCTGTAACTGACAATGACATAGAAATTTTGTTTTTAGAAAATGATTTTGTTTTGTTATAAACTAATTGACTTTTATATTTACATATATATATACGTTGTTATGTACATTTACATCGCGATATGTCGCGATGGTTATGGCTCCCGCTCTTCAAACATCAGGGTACGAGTTTGAAACTTGACAAGTGCCAATGTATAAGTTTTGCGGAGTTGTTTGGTCTTCCTAAGATTATTTATACACCACTGACATACGGTGAAGGAAAATATCGTGAAGAAACCTATACCTACATATAATTTCTAATTAAAAGTTTGGAATCGCCAATCCGCCTTGAGCAAGCGTGGTGTTTTCCTATGCAGTGGGTATAATAAGCAGTTTATGAAATGCTTAACTTTTAAATAAGAAAAATAAAAATTTCGGTATGATTATGCCAATGATGGATTTTAAGTTTTTTTAATCTATTTAAAACTTCATATACATATAGAACAATTTAAACCTTAATATTTCTTCTTTAGCCATTTGATCCACACTCAATCAAGATCTCTAAGCAACGTTGGATTACCTAGCTTTATTGATACTATGGCGGGTTTAAACGGCTTTTTCAGAAATAGAAGATTTGACAAATTTGTATAAGGAAGAGACACATATGCAATCAACTATCAATTAAAGAACAGTTAATTAACGTAGTCATATATTTTTATTCTACTTACATGACAAAAAAGAATTATTGAATATTGTCAAGAATTTCTGGAGTTGTTTCTGTTTTTTTGTAGATTGACGGTTGGCCGAATAATAGTATCTGATGGCTGAATATTTTAGTCGTTGATAATGTTATGTCTTAAGTTATGAATAGTTTTGGGCCCTGGCCGGTGGCTTGATCTTTTCTAAAAAAACTGTCTAGAAAACTGATATTGCTATGTACGAGGGGTTTCTTAATTTGAAGAGGGTATTTAGATAATTAATGCTCAATAATGCTAAATAATCTTTTAAACCAATAATAAAAAGTACACAACAGAAACAATGTGTCCTTATTAATTTGAGGGTAAAACTGTTGTATGTAATACCTAGCTGTCGTGAGATTTATAAACCAAAATAATGTTAAATAACTACTGTATAAGTTTCAAACCAAAACGGGGCTAACTGTACGTGAACCATTAGGCAGTCTAACTTGTCTACACAGCATAATTATATTAGTAAAGACACCTTTCAACAGAAACGCAATTATCGTAAAAACTATCACACCACGGGTTTTGTCATTGACAACACTAGACTATCTACCACCCATTATTCAATTAAGGTAGCTAAAAGCTCCTTAGAGGAAAAAAGGATAAGAAGCTAAGTTGGCAAAATACAGATATCTTGTCCTCTTAATAGGGTAGAGAGCGTACACAGGTGTCCTCCATCACGGCTGGTCTTGAGCTTCACCTCTCACCTCGCTTCATTTCATAACCATTCTAACTTCTTACGCCACTGCGGTGGGACTCATTAGACCAGAACAACCACGCTTCCTCCCCATGGGGATACCATCCCACGGCTTGTTTGGGCACGTGGTCGGGACACGTCGACCTTTGGCCAATCCCCTTGCGACCTTTGATCTGGTGGTGAATCCTTCGCGTCATATTTTCAATAGTTCTACTTTGGGTTGGGCCTTGAGAAAATGAAGAAAGAACTTAACATCGTACACTGATCAGATTGTAGTTCGCACTAGTCTTGTATTAGATACTATGCACATAATAACATACATCCTGCGGGCTTCCCCCGAATTCCCATAGTTACTGTTGATGTGGTGACGACAAAATGGAGCCATTTCGTTTCCAATTTCCAATATATCTATAAGTTACTCTTGCTGTGACTGTTTAAATAGCTTATAAAGGATTACACACTCACAGAGACAGAGTATCAGCGCTCTCTTCTAACCCTGGCCAAGTAAGGCCTACGGTCCAGCATTGAACTGTTGACGATCTAATATAAACTTCGCAGCAAACCAGTTAAAGAAACCATTAAATTAATGGTATTGAGGGTTCTATAAATGATCATCATCATCGTCATCAGCCTATATGTAAGTGCCCACTGCTGAGCCCTCTTCTCACAAGAAGAAGGTTTGAGCATTGATCACTACGCTTGCTCAAGTCGGATTGGCGATTTCAAACTTATAATTAGAAATAATAAATCCAGATTTCCTCACGATGTTTTCCTTCACCGTTTGACAGTGGTGTCTAAATAATCATGGAAAGTACATATAACTCGGAAAAGTCACATTGGAACTTGCCAGGTTTCGAACCCACACCCACTTGCATGAGAAGCGGACGCCTTAACCTTTTAAATTGTACACGAAATCATTTATATACACCTTATTTATCATCATCAATCCATCTAACACGAACTTTACTTAAGTAACTATTCTGTCTTGTTTCCTAATTATTTGTAGTACGTGATTAATTATAACTGATTGAATGGATTACCCTATTGGCCCCATCGGGTCTCAGTAGGCATTCGGATCGGTAATGTATTCTGGGGATTACCTTCTTTATTTTTTCCGTATTGCAAATAGGGTGGAGGTTACGTGGTGGTCATCTCATACATGAGGCGTGCATTCGAAACCTGGAAAAAAAACTACTAATGTGACGTGCCCGATTTATACGTACTTAAAATGGTTATTTAGATACCACTAGCATACGGTAAAGGAAAACATGGATAGGAGACCTAGACTTATAATTTCTAATTATAAGTTTGAAATCGCTATTCCGACTTAAGCAAGCGTGATGAATAATGCTCTTCTCCCTGTGAGAAGTGGCCTTCGTTCAGCAGTGAGCAGTTATAGGCTGACGATATACGATGATGTAAGTGGTATAAGCTCAATTAACGGTATTTAAATTACTACTTTTGGGTTCACTACAATATTAAGTCAAAATGTTATCGTTAAATTAAAACTTTACCTATACAGATTAGATAAGCGCACTTTAGCTGACAGGCACGCAGTCCTTTTTGAGGCTAGTCTGAGATTATAACGCCTTTCGGATTAATTATTAAAGGGTTATTATTACGCAAACCTATTTTGAGTTACATTGTAGATACCAACTAATACATAAGTAACAAAAACTGAGTCAAATTTGTTTACTTCTTTGAAAACTAATAGACATTAAGCTTTTTAACCACCAAAAAGGTAGGTCAAGGTCATCATCATCATTAGCTTATAAGTGTCTACTGCTAAGCAAGTCCTCGTCTCACACGGAAAAACTTGGAAAACTCACATTGGGACTTGCCAGGTTTCGAACCCTCATGAGTAAAAAGCGGGCCTTTGCCTCCGGGCCCCCGAAACCAAGGTCAAGTTACGAGTGGAAAACATTCCATGCGTTATTCTTTTGCTATGTCAAACCATTTTTTTATGTAATAGGTCGGCAAATGAGCATACGGATTACCTGATGTTAAGCTATGAGCGCCGCCCATGGACACCCGCAACGGAGGAGTTACGAGTGCGTTACCGACCTTTTAGGGATAAGGGATTTGGAGATTAAGGAATTGAGGAGGGATTGGGGGAGGGGATGGATTGGGCCTCCGGTATTCTTAATCACCCGGCGACACACAACGCTGTGGTTGTTTCACGCCGGTTTTCTGTGAGGCCGTAGTATCACTCCGGTCTAGCCGACCAACTCGTGCCGAAGCATGGCTCTCCCACACTTAAAGCGTACAAGCATGTTTGTATGTAAAATACTTACAAAATATTACAGATACAAGTTCGACCGTAACTTGAATACTTTATTATCAGGGCAGGAGTGAATGCCCTTGGCCCATCCTATTCACAGCACGATGCTTTCAGTGCGTTAATGTGTGAGTGACCTTTGGACAGAGATGTATATAGTTCACTCCGTACATTATTATACAGGCGACGGTTGTTTATTATCCAACAATTTGTTCACTTTATACTCCTTTTGTTATCATATAAATAAAGAATTTGTGTAGTTGAAATTGTTCAAGTATATTTTCACGGATACGGTAACGGTTCTCGGTCAATAGGTATGTATGAGGATTTAATACATTATCGAATGTTTTCATTACAGTTATTAAGATAAAAGTCTAGTAATTTTTTGGATGTGTTTAGCGGCTCCTGCGGACTATGTCACCAAAGTTATCTCTACAGTGTAAAGTTTCTCTTCATGAAAATAAACTTAAACTTATTAATAAATTCATCTAACGGACCAAGCTATAATTCTTTTATTTATTACCTAAATACATAATACCTCTCAGTGGTTAGATATAAAATCGAATGAAATACACTTATAAAATATATCTAGTGGAACCAGGTCAAGAAAAATATTCTGCGTATCATGCAAAGACGTAATGATCCATAAGTACTTATAGTACAATTTTTGAGTTCATAATAAAATCTTTACTTCTCTTGTTTACAGGCATCAGCCCACATCATGCCAAGCCAGCGCGTCATGGTGCGCCGAGTCACCAGAAGGTAACATGCTAACTGCGAATGCCTTGCGAATTTGCCTTAAGCGAAAGGCCGGCCGCACCCTTCTACAAATTTATGTGTCAGCTACGCGGTACAAAGGCTATTTTCTTGAGTTATTTGCTGAACCAATCATATGGCCTTGTATAAGTATTATGATTATTTATCAAAAAATAAATACCCAAAATTTCAAAAATTGTAACTGATGCGAGGCTTTTACTGCCTATCTGCTAACAAAACTGAAATCTGCAAGTTTTGTCAGCTATCAGTGTCTTAGTTCTTGATGTTCACAGTTCACCTGACTCCGATGACACCCTGCCCGGCGATGAGAGTGAGGAATACCGTGATGATGCTTTCCTGGTCAGCTCCAACCCCGAAAACAACTACTACGGTACGTAGTCTATCAATATATCATCGAATTTACGCCATTGCTGCTAAAATGTATCTTAATTTATGTTTCTTATGAAGTATTTTTGCTATGCGATTTTTTGTATTTCTGTGTAACGTTAAGTTATATATCTTTAAGCTACCTGCATATATGAGAGTGACTTTTAAATTAAAATTCGATATTTTGGGTTTTGAAAAATGGTAAAACATTTACAAAAGTATCTGTTTCACTTTAAACTTGTTTATTTTCGTTTTATGAAGAACTAGCTACTCTCGCGCGGTTTCAGCCGCTGCTCAGCTCCATTTGATCGTAGCGTGATGTCTTATAGCCTATAGCACTCAGGAACAGGGCCAGCGGTTCCAAAGATTACCCCCTACATACAAACTTACAAATTTTACCTCTTTATAATATTAGTAATAGATATAGGTAGGGTTGTGACACAAAAGTTAAATCTTTACGTCCGCTCTATATACACTTTGAGCTTAAATTTCTCCGTTAACGATTACTAATGATACCTGTACGTAGGGCACGTCCACATAATAACTCAGTTCAGTTACATCCTAAGTAGCTACCTACAAAATTTTCATCCAACCGTTTCATCCGCATTTAATTTCCCTTGTGATACCAAAAAGAAAATGATCGCAAGCATTTGAGCCCTCAGAGTAAATCGTGTTTGAATACGTCAATATATCGGAATTACGTTGTACGTACTTCTTTATATATTACTTAGGAATATTGTTTTTATAATCTCAAGAATGTTACTAAAAGTACATGATTTTATGCAGGGACATAATATTGATAAGCTTGTGCTCGTAATCAACCACCTAACAAAATATCTAATAACTAAAAAAACGAATTTATTCTCTATTAACCAATAATAAAAACGAAAAAATCTTAATTAAAATAATCTATAAGAAATAAAAGAAATAAAGTTAGTATGGAGCGTGAGAGATCTGCTAAAACAAAATAAACATTTCATTATGCAAGAGTTGGCTTTTATGACCACGCAGAGTGTTAAATTAGCCACATCTATGTATATGCAGTTGGCGCCGGATCTTCTGGAAACTCCAGCTTTTGCAGCCGATTCTTCACAGCATTAGGCCGCCAGTTGCACTCGATGAGCTACCTGTGCCCCGGTCTCTTCCCCTGGGTTGATTGCGGACCTGCTACCGATCTGAGTGGTAAGTTGTTACCTATTTTATCAATATCTCTCGGTTGGACGCTGATGAATGATTAGCCGTAGGAACATAATTTCGTTAAGCAAGACTCTTTTCTTTTTAGTGGTTTGTCTGGCCAATGGCATTATGACATTTTCCGAGTTATTGGTAATTTATAAGTTTACTAGACACCACTGATGAATATTGTGACGAAACCTGGACTATTAATTTTTAATTATAATTTTGAAATCTCCAATCTGCTTTGGCCGAGCGCGGAGGGTTTTCTCAACTGTGGGCACTTATAGGCCAACGATAACGATCTTTGTTCCTTTTTTTCAATATTGTTTGTATCCTGAAAGACAATAATATCTTTTCCATTATTGCAATGGTTATTTTTTGATCAAGAAATAAGCAAGGAACAAGCTTTAGTTTCACCACATGTGATAACAAAAAAATAATGTTTATATTGAAGCCTTTATCTTATAACGTTTTACTCCTTTAGGAATGTTCGTCATCAAGGCCGTTGGAGTCATGTACCTGTTGATCATTGCATTCGATATGTTCGCTGCTTTCGGAAGCCCTGGTACCTCTACGTTCACAAACGTCTCGATGTTGCTGCTCTTGTTCGGAATCTTTGCTATCCTGCTGATGATCTCACGTCGCCCACAAAACCGGTGAGAAAAATAAATACATTACTTAGTAGAAGTTAGTTTGACAAGTTATTACCAAGGTTACAATAATACTTTATACTTATTATGACTATAGGTACGATTTTTAGAGAAGGGTCAATAAAAGGGGGTGGAAAATTATCAAAAATGTATCTCAGTAAAAACCACTCCGTTCTTATCCTGTTCCGAGCAGGGGCCATAGTACCTCATTGCGATTGCAACCGCAACCCTGGCCGGATAACCAGGCCCGGGCGTATGGCGCGTAGCGTTCCGCGCGCGCTTCAAAGAGTCAGTATACCACCACAGACGGGGCTCTATAGGGCTGATGTTCAGTCGGGGTTGCGGGGTAAGCGCAATGAGGGACCGCGACCTCGCCTCAGAGCAGAAGAAGGAACAGGGGTGTTTTTAGTCAGTAAGAGTCTGACACTACCATCCACCCTGCCTTGGGCGGGAGAAGTCATTTGATGATTTTCCCCTCACAAAAAAAAACCTGGCTGGATATCAGTCCTAGTGTTTGGGCAGCAATCTAGTCTCGATCTTGAGCTTGTAGAGGCCGGAGAAAGAATTAATTACCCTAAAATGTATATAAGTAGCACATAATGATGACTAAAATGTTTAATGTCCGTCTGATAGCGTTTTATTTGATGAATTGGCAAACGACCCCAAGTACTTGATGGTAAGCAATCGGCGCTGCCCATAGACATCAGCAACACCAGACAAGTTACGAGTTACCGGCCTTTTAGGGTTAAGGATTCAGCGATTTAATATAGGGAAGAAGGGTATTGAGGCTAAAAAACATTGTTTTGCGCAATACCACAATAATACAATTTTGGCGTAGACATTACAATGAAAGTATTTGCCAAAAATGTTTCAGTGTTGCCCTGATCTACACTACGCCCGGATTGCCTTTCGTGCCAACGATCGCCATCATTGTTAACATTTACCTGATTCTGAACCTCTCCTACTTGACCCTTGTTCGATTCACCATTTGGATGGCTATTGGTAAGTTATTTTCTTATAATAAAATGTTATAATATTGTAGAAAACAAAAAATAATTTAATTTTATAATTTTTAGAATTTTCCAGGGTCAGATCAAGATATTTTACGGAACCAAATTCGTTAATAAACAGTTTCATATTACACTGATATGTTAATCGTTTCTAATATGGATTTACCATGCCTGTTAGAAAATAGAATTTCACTTTGTAAAAGTGTAAAATTACTTTGTCAAATTGCTGATTTGATCAGCAATTTGGCAAAGTTTGTGCCACTCCTACACGTATTCAAAACGACAATTTAAGTTAACGTAATTCAAAATCATAACCTGTTTCTAACTCTAAAAACCGCATCTTCCAGGTCTTGTTGTCTATTTCAAATACGGCATCATCAACTCGTCAATGGAGAAGAAGGAATCTGACGAAACCGTTGAGGTCCCACCAACACCTAACCCTCTAGACCGCACTACGATCCCTCCCCCATCTCCCCACCAATCACGACCCACTGGCGACCGCAACATCTTTGAAGGAGACGGCAACGAAGGACTGTATGGCAACCTGGAGTAAGTTTAGATAGAAAATATATATTATTAATTTTGAACCTCTTGTAGGTATTAGGAATGCTAGTAGAGTAATCATTATAATAGTAGATAAACTAGTGAATTATCTTATTTAATTGAAAATAGCAGTTGATTTAATCACCTTAAAATAACAAGTTTGATAAAGGTCACTTGATAAAACCATGCACGTTAATTCACAGAATAGAGTTATATCTACTAGTCTTAGGTATCTAATAGAAACGAAATTGGAATGCATAAACATTAACACTATCTATCTATAACCTAGCACTTTTTTAAAATAGTCCTGAAACGTTCTTAAGTAAGTACGTTGATATAGAACATTTATACATTTAGAATAGTACATTTCCAAGTCTTCCGCACCTGTTCTACGACATATCACCATTTTCCAGGTATAATTCTTTACTCACTTGGCATGAGTCGAACTTGCAACCTGTTGCCTCATCCAGTGGCTTTTCAACTCCATCATCAGGGAATCGAATGCAAACAACATATAATCCAACCACCACCTATCGTCAAGTGGAGACACGGTAAGTCGTGCACTGACCAGCTACCAAGCTTCTAAATCAAATGGGGCTATAGAAATGATTGTTATGTTATATCACAGTTTTTGTCATCCGCTTTAGAAATTAGCATGTAGTTAGTAATCAAGAATCACTGAAATGTTTATTTATTGAGAAGCAACTTATACAATAGTATCTTATAAACACTGAAGTACGTGTGAGCTTAATTCCAGTGCAAAAAAATAGACGTGTGCTACATTTTGTGTTGTGTAAAAATGCTTGAATTTCGTTGTCTTAATGTCGTGCACAATTTAAGAATTAATCTAAATGAAAAATGTGAAGTGCTAAAACAACATCCATTCAAATTACAGTTATGACGTGGACACCAACACGACCACCACTGCGCTTGGCCGACCACCATGGGCCTACCCTGATGTAGCCGTCTATGGAAATTGGGAGGACTAAATACCTACTTCCACCATCAAACGACTGTCGCAAATCATACCAGACTGAGCTCACGATTAGGCTTTTCCCATATTTCTATCTCCCTATAACATATTTATATAATTCATAATTGCCAGTATTGGTGAAATCTGTTTACTAGGTTTGAAAAATCCTTAGGATTTATAAAATTATGTGATCATCTTTAGGACTGAAGAGCATCGTTCCTCTACATTGTGATACTTTCATACTTTACCAAGGCATCCTACATAAACACCTGTATGTAACGCAAAGTCAGCCTTATCACAATGCAGCCTAAGATTCGAAATTGTTTGTGTTACTTCATTACTATTTATTTTTATTTTGTTCTACATTTGACCCCATTGTATGTACATATTACCTACTGATTTATAATATCTACTTCTTGATCATATACTGTAGCCATATTTATAGTAGTGTTTTACCTAGCTTATATATTTCATATAATCTCTTATAATATACATGTATCGGTATTATGTGTAGTTTATATACTGTTTTAATGATTTTAACTAAGACCCTCGTCTCTTTGCAATAAATACGACCCAAGATACTTTTAAAAAACTTACATATCTAACACAACTTTTAAACGTAACAGTAGGAATTTAACGGAAAATGCGCCGACCTTTCACGTATAATTGATACCTAATGTATTTGTGCGTCGACCATACATCTCTGATACTCGACGCATGTTCCGTCAGATGTGAACCGACCCTAGCATGCGTCATTGTATAAAGATTTGCCAAGCCTCCGAGTACGAGGGTCAATATATTTGATATATATTTGCTATAAAATATTCTAATATTATATAATAATATCTAAACATATCACGAATGAATTTCTACTATATTTATTTATTGTTACCCAACATTTTTCTCCTGTTAACATTTTTAGTAGTTATACCTACCAACAGATAGTGGTACCTATTTTGTAAACTATATTGTGTTTTAGTTAAATGACTAACTTCATTATTTTTGTATCAATTTTCACCTGTTACTATTTTGAAGCAGCTCAAATGTTGAATATTTATATCGTATCTATTTTATTATTGTTTATTTTTAAATTATTTCCGCTTACTTCATACCTATGCAACAATTAACACAAGTTAAGTCTTCCTTCTAATTTTAAACTCTACTGAAACTGAAGAATGAACTTGTACACATTGGCGTGGTTCAAGTAATAATAAAAACATAGGATCCCCATACTGAAATTAAAATCAAGCGATCTACGATTGCCAAACTATCGTTTAAACCCGCAAGAGACAGTAACTTATTCTGATCAAACGTTTCAAAGTTATCTCTATTATCTTATATCAAATTATATTTGATTTTTTTCTCTATAACTATTATTAAAAATGTGATATTTTAAGTAATGTTTCAACTATAAACTTAATACGTATATTATTAGAACTCTTCAGTAATTAAATATATATGTATGTATGTATTATTTTATGTTACGGTATCATTTAGGCTAAAACCTATTTTTAGAAGATATTTCATTGTATTATACTTACATTTTCAAATGTTTGCACTCTCCAATGAACAGACAAGATATCTGCGTTACTGTTCGTGGTCCAGCACTACCACTTTTGGAAAGTGTAAATGTTGCCTACTGTAGATAAAGTTATTTATAAGTAGGTCTCAAGTATTTCAGCCATTTTTTGTACAACTCGCTTCTTACAAATGTTTAAGATTCTGTATTTAAAACAAACCAAACACTGGCTTAATATAATTTAAACAAATCGACAAGATAAACGTTAAAACTTTTTATATTAATTGCGCAAAATAATACTATCATTTTTATACTAGGCGTTTTGTCAGAGGGCAAAATTCCTTTTTGGATGGCAAAATTATGATAACAATTGGTAAGGCCTTAATGATAAATTTGTTGATGTTGATAAATAACTAGTAATTGTTGGCTTTTTCAAGGCGACGTATACGGCGCCTTGGAATAAATTGGTTTGTAATTATTGTTAAAAGGTCTGCTAACAGCTAATTGATGAGCTATGACAATGAATTAGGGTTATGTTCATATTCTTCTCACGGAGGAATGAGAAGAACTGAGAAATTGGACTTGACAATATGAGTGATCTCAGCCGGCACCTGATCTATTTACACATGGCTTGACGTAAGCCTGAGACACCAGCCAGTCCTGGGCGAGCCCCATAAGTCTAAGGACACTAGGCTTACTGAGAATGAGCATGAGACAGTATACTTCAACGACAGTACGAGTCATCTCGACGCCCACAACGTAATACAATAAATAAATCTAGACAAAAATTCTTTGGAACACTATCGGCGAAGCGTTTGTGAATCTGTCTCACGCCCATTCTAGCCGGGACTACGACACCTACGTCCCGTTACTAAAATAGAGATGATACTGAATTATACTCTCTTCTAATATAATAGTATTAAGGAATGTTCTGTGTAAACATGCACTGTGTAACAATATCTGTTAGTATTAATGTGCTCCTTCTATCAGACACATTATAATTAACTTTTAAAGTCTGTGGCTTTGGTGGCTGAAACTTAAGATTGTCTAAATTGTAGACGAAAACACCTTACTCCTTAATTAAAAGCCTGTAACATCAAGCTGATTCTTGTTGAATTTTCAACTGCGGTTATGAATTGGCTAGGCTAAACATAACATCAATGGAAAGGTTCTGGCCCCTCCAAAGCCAACAGCCACATCTAAATTGATTTCAGTTCATTACAAACATGATTACTGTGTCAATAAACATTCTGGATTTGCTATCAAAATTGCAACGCTCAAATTTACTTTTATATTACGTTATTTTCATAGATAGTACTTGCAATTTTTAATTATAAATTGTTGATATGAAGGATGTAGCTCTAAGTCTTAATTAAACAATGTTATTAAGGATATATATCTTTAGATAAGTACTAAAATGGTAAGCGTAGAACAGACTGTGTGGAAACGTAGTTGGACATGCTCTGTTGCTAGGACACCTGGACCAGCAATCAATTCGTGGCTCTAAAGCTCAAACAAGATGGCTTTGAACTTGTAATAGTTGAAATTCTTATTCCATCTCGTGTCTAACACACGTAAATATACGTCTTGAATCGATTTAAACAACTCAATATCATTAATCGAGAACTTATAGCGTTAACTAGCTCCAAAAGGTAGAACAAGAAACTGTTTTGCTATACTCAAGAGCACTTCATGACTTTCAAAAGAATGTCCAATCTACAATACCTACACACAGTTTGCTCTAAGCTTTAAAATACATTGAAAGGTTTACATTGAAGGCACGGGGACAGTGGAGCTGGTAAAAAACGGTTCAGTAGCAAGATTTTGTTTGTTAAATAGGGTTAGTTTCCCTTAGCCTTGAGTGGAGATCGCGCCGGTGTATTTTAAAGTCCGGAATCGATGTCCCCCCATGTAATCATTCCACGCACCGCTACGTTTTAAATGTTGGTTCTGCTAGCCGTGCGTATTTATTATACGGTAGCAGAATCGAGCAAGAATATTGACTGGAGAGTTGTAGGTAGTATGCGAAATGAACTCTACATCTACCTGCTATATGTGTTACGCTAAAGTAGTGAAGACTTTTTTGAACAGAACACAGCAACCAGGACTTTTCAATGCGGTTATTATTTTATGTTAATAACCCCGTGAAAGAGCTCAAATGTATACAACACTCCTGAACCCATATGTTAAGCTGTCATACTTGGCTTAAAACTACCAAAAAGTCTCTCAGTTCAATATTCTTGCTCTGTAGTTATCCAATACAAATTGATAATATTTAGTGATATGTTATCTATGAGATTAGCCACCTCAGGCTATAATACAGCAAGTATCGTAACGATTGCTCAAGCTGCTCATACGGCATGTGAGTAATTACTAAGATCATTTATATGTACTGAAATAAAACGTTTTTTGGAAACACCCATTTGTGTACATGTATTCTCTTGTCTTGGCTAAATATTATCAAATTGTATATTGGTTCGCAATGCTTACATTCCTGTTTTAGAATACATAGCTAGGTGTTATTAACTTATTTGCCGTATATGAGTCTACGTTATATTTATATTAAGTTTTGTTTGAGAATTTATTATTGTTACGTTTATTTATAAGTGATCCATTTGTCATATTAATTTGTATTGATTTGTACTATTAAACGACTATAGTGTGTTTTACCTTTGAAAGATTATCCCTTTGACTGAGTAATAACTTATCGTTGAACTTGATAAAGACTTAAATATATATCAACATGCTCAATATAATCGAGTCAGTATCACATGCCATAGTCGTAGAATATTATTGCACTCTATCAGTATTGTTTTACATGTTAATTTATCTGTTTCTGCTGTCGCCGATCTGGAGCAAAGCAGCGACGGCTGTCGTGATAGTTGTCATCAATAAGCAATGCTCTGAAAGAGATCGTTGGTATATTATGGTGTGGTAACGTGTATGGTTTGTTGCAAACAATTCATCACGCATTAGAGCAATTGGTAGAAGAATAGTGGAAAGGGTATTTATTAAATACGCGGGAAGTATTAGAAAAATGATTTTAAATGCCAAACAATGAATTTAATCTGTTTGATTAAATCTTAAGTATAACTAGGAAGTACCTATGGCAATCTTAGATTGAATTAAAAGATGTTGGACCAATGGATTTAGCCGACAACGCTGCTTCGCTCCGGAACTAATTTATGTGATATGTAAACTTAGTTTAACTATAATCGATCGTAATAAAATGTTAATAAATCAATTGCGTTTTATTTATCAACCTTCTAATACACTGCACAACATACATAATACAAATAAAACAAATGTAATAACGACAATTTTATAAAAATACGTTAAGAAACGCAAACAATATTATAATTGTATATTTTATCTTGTAATAAATAATTAAAAGCGTGTATTCCAGTTAGGTGCAAAAAATGAAACAAACTTGCTGACGGAATCAAATTTTTATTTCAAATCCTCATAATGCCGTATCATGTGCGCTTCATCTTTCA